CCCCATAAAAAAAGGGGGGGGATCCCCCCCCCCCCCCCACCCCCATCCACCCAAACACCACTTAATTTATTTGAACAGCCTTAAAAAGATGTTAAATGTTCAATATTTATTTAACTAAAAGTATATATTTCAAATTTTCATTTTTTTTTTTTGTAATAGTGCTTTGCGATGCGTAAACATATTTCCATCTCATCAGACAACAGGCACTTCGTAATGAAAATAGCAGAGCGCAAACCCACTATTTGGACGCTCGGCTTCAAGAGGTAAGCAACAACCAATCTACAGGGAGGGAGACCGCCACATCTATGGCCAGGTTCGCAATCCATTTCAGTTTTTATCATTAACAAATTATTTAAAAAAAAGAAAATGTTTCTTTTTTGCCAACAGATGTAAAAGGGCTAAAGAAAAAGACAACCCCCCCCCNGAGGCTAGAGAAAAAGACAACCCCCCCCCCCCCCGGGAGAAATAAAGAATGACGATGAGTGACACCGACACAGATTTCGTTGCATTACACGATCCCTTTTTTCAGTATCCATGTGACCATCATTTCGCGCAAATCATTGAGCAAAAAAAATTTGAGTAAAAGTTAACCGATGTAAAAATCTAGTTACCGAGCCTACCAGTGATTAATCGGAGGCCGATAAGAACTCAATAATTTCCCAGGTTCATGAGGACTTAAAAAATAGAAAATATTTTATTTTCCGCAGATGAGCTCTAGGTGTCTGGTCGCGTGCGCGATGAACATTTCTCTCTAACGAATATGAATCCCCCAGACATAATGAAGCTAATGTATCACAATTCATCACATCACGATTACACAAGTAATCTGTTTTCCTTATGGTTTTAAGTTCTATGGCTCTATTACCATAGAAATTGGCAGAAGTTCATTTTATCTCCTGTGTGGATGTTCTAAATAACACCAGGAAAATAAATATCCCACTCAGGTTACAAACAGTTGAAAAAATAGCATTCGGAGTCCTGAGTAAATTTGGGTAAGAGGAGGTCTCTTCTTGGTGGTTCTGGACCGGATTCAGCTGTCACAGACAGGATATAGCTCGTCGCTGAAGTTGCGAATGAATTAATGCATCTTAGAAATTTCCTACGTAAATTCGAGATACCTAATGAACTTTTCAAAGAGAAAGTATATCGGAAAGTGCAAGCTCCAAATAATTTTGGGAGGACCTTTCCTCCCCTAGGAGCTGCCACTGATCCTAAATTGTTCTGATTCCTTCCTAACTTTCAATTTCTTCTTACTCGGGAAATATTAATTATGTTGGCGTAGGAGGTTATCGGAAAAGACCTCAGTAGCCCTGAAACAGGTAGGGTGTATGCCTCTTTAAGCGAGCGTATTTGCAAGTCCGTTGCTATTAGTTACATCTATGTTCTAGGGAAACTACCAATAGTTAGGAATTCAACGACTAGATGTTTGCCCGAATCCAGAGTACTATATATTTTTTTATGCTACGTGACTTGATGCTAAGGGGTTTTGGTGCTACGTGATTCGATGCAACGAAGTTTGATGCAATGTGTTTTCGATCCAAAAAATGTTCTACCTCTTGTGAGACCGTCCAGTGTTTTCGATGCTACGTGGTATCCGGCTTCAGATCAAATTTGGTCCTACGCAGTGACGTAGCGTCGGGGGAGCAAGGGGGCACGCCCCCCCCCCCCCACTATTCAGGAAAAGAAGTTACAAAAAAAGAAGGAAAAGAGCCAGAAATGCGTAACAGTATCCAGCGCCGTACCGAGAATATTTGGTGCCCTGTGCGAGATATTAATCCAGCGCCTCCCCCCTCCCCTCTATACCTCTCCAGCTTTCCCAATACCAACGATACATTACGTATTAATTCCTATGTTTGATTTTGTTTAATTCATGATAATTTGCAAGTCTTTAAAATAAGTTTATTAGTATTTTGCAGTGATTTGGCAGACAATCGGCGCTCTGTGCGGGGCAGTTTCTTCATTCCGACTTCCGTTTCCATTTCCTCATGAATGATACTGGGCATTTTGAGAATATTCTGAAAGTGATGACCTTGATTCCTTTTCGGTTGTTTTGCAAGGCTATGCACTAAACAGTCAAATTTTAAGAGAAGGAAGAGGCATCCAGGGGGCGATTTGGGAGGGTCGGTTCAAATTCAATTAATTTCGATTAATCTTTATTATTATCACGATTGTAAATTTAATCGATTTCTTGGTTGATGAAACTAACCAATCGACAGCCCTAGAGAAATGTGATCTCTGACCTTTTTAAATTTAGATTTCTATCTCTAATTAGATGCACACAACGGTTAGAAGAACATCCACTCCCCGACGTAATTCACATGAGCAAACAAAGAAAAATTATAAAATTGATATGAAACTTTAAGAAAAATTAGTTTGCTTCCTTTCGCGAAAAAAAAATTTCACAATCTGTGACCTTTGACTTATTCTTCTCATCAGTCTTATGAAATCTCATTTATGACACTATTGATGGAAGTATTACAGTCAATTAACAGATTCATATTCACTGGCGAAAATTTCTCAACCACGGCAAAACTTTCGATCCTAGTAAAGGTAAACATGCGCATTTTCCTCGATTACGAGCAGCACTTTTTTTGTGGATGACTGTCCATTTCAGCTTCAACTCAAAGAGATTTGTGGTCAGTTTTTTCTAACTTTTAATGAGCGTTTATTGTAGAAAATGTATCATGGAGGTGGGAGGGGGAGGCGAAATTTCATTTAATAATGGAAATTTAGAATTGGGGGGGGGGGGGCCCTTCTCATCTGAATGGGAAAATTAACGTAGAATTTGTATAATTTCGTTTCAAGTAATTACGATAAATTCGTACATTTTTTTATCGCATATTTTAATAATAAGGCAGTCAATCGGCTCCCTGTACAGGGGCACCATTCGCACTCCCCTTGTTACAACACCGACAGTATCAAAGTGTCCCCCCCACCCCTCCCCCTTCCCACTTTATTCATCCACGCTACGCTTATGGCCCTACGAGATTAAGAGCTCAGTGTTTTCTACGCTACTTGTTTTTATTCAAAGAGAGGGTCAGTTTTTGGTCCTAGTTGTTTTTTGCGCTACGAGATTTGGTGCTCCATGGCACTCCCTTAATGCTCTCCTTTTCCGTGCTCCCTGAAGCAAGAAATTGAGTCGACGTTTTCTATTCATGTTTACTTTTGCTCGTATCGTTTTCGGCCGTGAAACTCGATTAGCAAACAAGTTTCGAATTGAGCGCTGACCAAGGCTCGAATAGGGCCAGTCAGGTCTGGGTCCGGCCCATGCAAGTCTCAACTACGCAGTAAATACTGTAATTCCTGGCTGCAGCCTGAGTACCAGGATGTCCGATTGCGCTCTCCAGCCCCTACATGCGTTTCCAGAGAAACTCCTGTGATCCATGATTAACCAACAATATCTTTACAGAAAGTGTTAAATAGTTGTTGAATATAGTCATTACTTATAATTCTGGAGTACGGATGATTGAGTACTGCGTACTGGATTGCGATAGCAGACAGCATCCATGTATGCCATGTTATTACGTAAGCCATGTGTTAGGCGCGCTAGAATGTGAATGCCAGATCAAGATTTTTCCATGGCGTTAGCTTGACATCAACAGTGATGGTGCCTTCTGTACATTTGCCAATATTTGTTCGTTCTGAGAGCGCAATGCTGATTCGACCAAGGTCTAAGGTGTAGTCTCAGACCTTAGACCTTGGACCTTGGTCTGCAGAGCTTAGCCTAGGCTAGGGCTATCAGACGTCCCGGTCTTTTCAGGCTCAGCCTTGGTTTGGGAGTGTTCCTGTTTTCAGCAAAATGTCACGATGTTCCGTTTTTCAGTCCTCGCTACGTATCGTGGTCTTTCATTTGCTATGCCTTGTTGCATGTATTTTGCTCAGCAACCCCTGCAACTGGCTGGTTACCAGACAGGTGCTGTTGCATCTCTACTTTTCTTGAATTTAAGACTTGTCTTCATAGGACAAGTACTTAGGTAATTTGCATGATACAGGTATCTTTTGTCAGTGCTGATGCAGACCACAGTGTTTTATGGAATGTCTAAGATCAGTCCAATTGAAGCAATGGAGAGTGAGGTTCAAATCAAAGTGATGACTGAATCTCCACCACTGAGGAGATCAAGTCGGAGGGCCATCAGACGAGGAGCTGATAGAGTTAAAGACATCCACAAAGACGAACAGGCAATGGAAAAAATGGAGGTGGCTATTGTAAGTGCTAGTATGTAGAATTTGTTCTGTTGGAATAGAACCAAAGGCACCAGTCTTGTTTCCTTCTCAGGTTTACAGGATTTCCTGCGATTTGAGGCATTACATAATAATAGAATTAGAAACTGGCTGCATGGCCATTTTTTTACCTTGACTTATTAATAGTATCCTTTAATTTTATTATTGTGCCAGTGGATTAGAGAGCCTATCACAGAGCCTCAACTGATAGCTATGAAAGAAAAATATGCCTCTTCAGAACACTCCATCACTCTTCTGGTGTGAAAAGAATTATTAATGAAGTTCAAAATGGATAGTTGTCATTGGGGACACTGGGCAGAAACCAGCAAACAAATTTTCACTTCGCTTTTTGAATTTTGTGGCATATGAAGTTGTGCTGAAGAACAATGTTCCTCAATAAAAAAATGAGATACTTTTGTTTTAAGCAAGAAAAAAATGTATTGTCCCAACATTCTTGCAAAAGAACAAAATCTTATATCTAGCTCTTCATACATACAGACAATAGAGAATCAGCCCAAAACACTCTGAATAGACTCATCTTCATTTCATGTGCACAACTCTAGAGGCTGAGTAGGAATGCAAAGGGTTTACTCTAATGTTGCTTTTGGAATATATTTTAAGATATATGGAAACTTTCTTTGACTTCAGACAACTAAAACAATGTGCTTAAGCAATGGTGGAATACTTTGAGGACATCAAAACCATCTGTGGGCAGCATGCTGTTTATTCAAGCCACTATCTGGCTGGGAGAGGGGAAACTACCTAGGATGCACAGTTGACATAAGAGTCCACTGTGGGGTCTACTGAAGTTTCAGGCCTCATATACAGGTTTTTTGTTACAAATAATGACTAATTAATTTTACCATCAAATCCTTGGCCAGGATGCCATGACAGGGCCACAGTTGCTGTTTTAATGTATCTGTTCCCTCTCACTCATGTGCTCCCAAGGAGTTGAAAACAAATCCATTGTGCTTTTTCTACCTGTTCCATGATCCTGTTTTTAGAAAACTAGTAGAAAATACCTCAAAGTTAGTTATTGCCTACAAGCACATGTTCTTCTTAGTATTCAAATCTCATGTGATAGAGGAGCTTCTGTGAAAATGTTATTTACATCCTTTTATATGAGAGTCCTTTTAGGTATCCCCAGATCTCATTTCAGACAGAAGCTGTCCTAAGAGTTAAAAAACAAAACTGTTGATTATCTCCTTAGGAAAGGACTCCTGAGAAATCTGGTCTTAGTGGAATGTCATACTATGAGCAGATTAGACAGCGCAACATTACTGAAAAGATGGCTTTACTTGCATCCCTTGATATCTCAGCTGATATCAAAACTCTCCACGAACAAGTGTCTGAAAAGAAGAACCATCTGAGAAGGTGAGCAATGGAGGTGAATCAGATTGCCTTGTTTTAGTCCAAGTCCAATCCAGCACAAATGCCCTAATTACAGGTTGAATCTAATT